TCTCTCTCTCTCTCTCTCTCTCTCTCTCTCTCTCTCTCTCTCTCTTCTCTCAACTAAATATTCCTATAGTCATCTATAAAAGAGACAAAATATTATAATAAATATATGTCATTTCAACTAGTTCTTTCATAGGTGACCACTTCTTTTTCTTTTTGATTTTACTTGCAAAAGACTTTTATTAGCAGTCGAAATAATATACAGGGTGTCCCAAATATGGGCATATTATCGCTATATACCGCGAAGATTCTCTTGCGGGATAGATCAGCTTTCGTCTTGTAACGGCCGTCCTTCTCGAGTTGCCGCGAAAATTCGTGCCGCACAGTCAATCGTAGCGTGTCAATTCTATCGTTCGTTAATAAAGGCGAGTACGCGTTCTCGCCGAATGTAGCGTTACGTAAGTTAGAATGTCGTCGTGAAAAGTATCGTCGTCGCGTACGAGATTGTATGAGGTCCGCTTGAAATATTATTTGAGTGAGTTATCGCGAGCGACTCGCGATCACGAATCTCGCGTTGCGTCTTAGAGCTCTTGTAGGAAAGACTTGTTTTCTATCGGTTTCCGTAGCATTCGAGACGAGTATTTAGAGCCGGGAAATGCCCGGCTGGCGCCCAACTTTGTACAATATGCAGTTTAGAACGGCGCGTTAGCCGAGAGAGAGCCTTGCCGACCATCCTCGCGAGGAGGCGAATCCTCATCGACGCTCGGCTCCCGGGAGCCGGAGCGAGCGCGCGTATGTCGGCTTGACCGACCTCGTTCTTACGCCGATTCAATAAAGGTGATATTGTTACTGTTAATTGTAAATTATCATTTTATCTTTAACCACTCTCGTCTTTTCTCACGCGTCAAGACCGATAACTAAGTCGCGAGTCAAAGAACCACGCCACTCTACCAATTCGGTAAACTGAGCAGCCGGTAGAGTCGGCCGTCGCCGTTTCACGGGGACGAACTTTTGCCCGTTTTCCTCGCGTATCATACGTGCAAGAGAAATACGGTCACAAAGTATACAACAGCAGACGGCGCTACTGCAGCTCATCTACCATATCGCGTGATTATTTACCAATCTTTTTTAATTAATCGCGACTATTATTGCGGATATCGCAAAACGGTATAGGACTTTTATGTTCACCTAAACCCATTCTACATTCCCACTTAATGTGAGAAGAAACACTCTGTATAGAAATATATAAATACTACTATAGTGACTCTTTCTTGACAGCCATTGCAGCATACAGTTTCTTTCATATACACCGTTCGCGCCGCTAATATTTACTGCACGTGTATAATAATAAAACTGCGCGATCAGTTCATCTACAGCAGAACAGTTAATATATCGGTAAAAGTGGAATTTAGAGGATCCACCTCCGATGGTCTTCATGTTGGTACATGTTATAGAACTTATTCTCCTGAATAACACTAAAAAAATTTTAGCCGTCGCTCATTGTTTATTAAAAAGTTATTAACAATAGAAGTTGTATGAATGTAACAAAATTTTTTTGAAATTAGGTATATTAAATCAGATAAATATTGCATGTATATGCCCATGTGTATATTTTTGCACATATACGTAAAAATGTAGTAAAACAGTGTACGTATTGGGAGTGTGCATTAATTTTAAGGAATTTTTTGGTAAAAATACGGCTTTATTGTGAAAAAATGGAAAAAATTATTGTTACAAATTGATCATTCAAAATATTGTCCATCGCTAGTCACTACTTTTTCCCATCTTTCTGGTAATAAGTGGATTCCACGTCGAAAGAACGATGCGTCTTTTGAGACTATCCACGAATCGACTCATTTTTTTTATATCCCCATAAGAATGTAAGCGCTGCTCAGATAGGCCATGAGTCATCGATCGAAATAGGTGGTAATCGGAAGGAGCAATATCCGGAGAATACGGCGGGTGTAGTAGGACATTCCAGTTAAGCGCTTCTAACGTTTCCTTGACCGGTTTCGCAACATATGGCCGAGCGTTATCATGCTGGAAAATCACTTTGTCGTGTCTTTTCGCGTAATCTGGCCGTTTTTGCTTTAATGCTCGGCTCAATTGCATCAATTGTTGTTGGTAGCGTTCCCCAGTAATGGTTTCGTTGAGAGCAGTTCGTAATACACTACACCCAGCTGATTCCACCAAATACAGAGCATGAATATTCGGCTTTGCCGTCGATGTTGATGGTTCGCCTACACTATGATTTTTTGCGCTTCGGATTATAGTAGCGTATCCATTTTTTATCACCCGTCACGATACGATGCAAAAAACTTTTTCTTCCGTGTCTTTGAAGCAACAATTCACAGGTCATTTTACGCCTTTCGACGTCCCTCGGCTTCAACTTGTATGGCACCCAGTTTCCTTGTTTTTTAATCATTCCAATGGTCTTCAAACGTCTGGAAATCGTCGATCGATCAACATTTAATGATTCTGCAAGTTCTTCTTGCGTTTGACTTGGGTCTTGATCGAGTAAAGTTTCCACTTCATCATCTTCAAACTTTTTCGACCTTTTTGGACGTTCCTTATCTTCTGTGTCAAAATCATCTTTTTTATAGCGTCGAAAGTACTCACATGTTGAAATCGATGGAGTATAATCACCATAAGCTTCCGATAGCATTCGTTGACTTTCAGCAGCACTTTTCTTCAAATGGAAGCAAAAAAGTAAAGCTTCCCGCAAATTGCGTTTTGTTGACACAAAATTCGACATATTCAATGCTCAAAAAAACAATGTTATTTACACTAG